CCTGTCCTCAACTGCTAACTCATGAAGGAGACTGCGGAGCAGGCCAGGGTGCTGGTGAGTGCAGCACGCTATAGCACCAGTGAGTGCAGACACAGGTACATGGAGCCTAGCTGTCTCCCCTGGGCTGCTGCACGGGGCAGCGGTGAAAGGCACATGAAAGGCAGATGGGGAAGTCACACCTAACCTAAGCACAGTGCTTAGCACATGTAGAGATTTGGCAGGTGTCTCCTAAATTGAATATAATGTTTTGCCATGGAGGAAAAATTTCTTTCAGCTGCGAACAGTGGTAGCTCTATGCCCTTACACAATGAAACAGGCAAAAATTTGAGATTCTGGCTCGATCATTTCAAGACTTATGGTACGGTCATTTAAAGTGGATTTTTTAAAGCACTTTTTGAGTGGCTATAAAATAAATGGCTATGTGTATGGCAGCCTGTTTTAACATTCATTAATTCACCCTTTCCTGAAAGGAACTTAGTGCTGTAAACTGACATTGAGATATGACATCTAAATAGCACTGCCATGCCACACAAATATTAAATCATATTATCTGACAATCCTTGGAGAATGGCCTTGCAATGTTAAGACATGGAAAAATGATGTGAAATCAAATTCAGAGAAATTTGACTTAGATGTCCAACATAAAATGAGCATCTCTCATTAATGTGTGGGATTATGATGGCAAAATGATGTACAATGATGACAGAACATTTCTGTAAAGATGATGGAGGTTAAAAGGAAGAGATTTCACTCTATATTCCAGGGTATGGCCATACATTTATGTATTCTTTGAGCAAAAATTTTTTAAGTTTACTAAGAGGTATGTAGTGGGCAGGGTCTGTAATGAAAAAAACCAACTGGGCACCATAGCACACACCTGTAATCCCAGCATTCTGGGAGGCTGAGTTTGGAAGCCAACAAGTCTGAACTCAGTCTGGGCAGCTTAGAAACTTAGTGAGATTCTGTCTCAAAATAAAATGATAAATGGCTGGGGCTGTAGCTCAATGCAAAAGTCCTGCCTTCAACCCCAGGAAATAAGTGAATGAATGCATGCAGGGGTGGGGTGGGTATGTGAGTTCCTGGGGCCGCTGGGTGATGGGGTGGTAACTGTAATGGAAGCATGAACAAGGCTTCCTCCCCTGAATGGCACTTGCGTTTGGCAGGGAGTATGACAAGAGCTCACTACTGCATGAGTGGCAGGGTTCTGAGAGGATAAGAGGCATTCTGGGAGCAGGTCTTGTGGGAGAAACCTCAGCATGTGTGCACACTGAGAAAGATCCAGTGGGCGGGCTCTGAGGGGGTAAGAAACGCAAACCCTCAGATGGCTCTAGCAAGGGGTAAGAAGTGCAGGCTGGGGTCAGGTAGGAAAGAATCTCTTATAAGGGGATTCAAATAAGGTGAAAAAAGATTAAAAACTGTGTTCCAGGTCTCACACAGAGCAGATGGGCTGGGAGAAATAGCTCTGTAGAATAAGCGCTTGCCTGGCAAGCACAGGGTCCTGGGTTCAAACCCGGTACCAGAAAAAACAAAACAAAAACAAAAATGTTGCCACCATATTCGCAGCTTCTTGTCAGCTTGAAGACTTTTGAAGGGCAGAACTGGGGTTTGTCTTTGTATTCTACAGTGTTCTGCTTGAAATAGGTTGGGATGACCAGACAAATACCAGACTTAGACAAGTTTGAAGCTGTGTGTGTGTGTGTGTGTGTGTGTGTGTGTGTGTGTGTCCTCTCACACCAGCTTGAAGCAAGATTGAGGTGAATATTTTAGAGGCAATAAGACTGCCCAGATCTCCAGCCTGACTAAGGTCATCCTGCTAAAGAAGGGGAGGAGGGGTCCCCAGTGAGCAATAATTTCCCCCTTTTTGTTGTATGGTTCACACAGCTTCCTCAAAGCCCCGGAGTCTGATTCCACCTGAGCCAAGTCTGGGCTGATAGCTGCAGCTAGTGCTTGGATGTGGCCACCTTTGATCAGAGCTCAGCGCGTTCCCACCTTCTCATGTACACACACCATCCCGAGAGGCAGCTGCCACCTTCCTTGTAAGGGCAGCTGGGTAAGGATATAAACGTGCATCTGCTCAGTGGCCCTCAATTTAGGAGTCAGAGCAGCCACAGGCTAATTAAAAATAAACAAAATAAAATGCAACAAGATGGAAAACTCATTGTTTCAAATGACTCATGGCCCAGCATCCTCCAAAATATGTGACTGCAGCCCAAAAATGCTCCTCTCAGGAACTGTCTGCTGCTTACTGGCTTTTCTATGTATCAAGTAGATCAGATGAATACATCACTTCCTCCCAACATCTTTCACACAGGACACAGTTGACTTTCTCTACCTCTCTGCCTTTCCACAGAGTGGCCCCAACTTGCTGCCACCGTCTATATCCTGAAATGTTCTCTCAGGCTATGTCATCGAACCACTTAAGAGGCATGAGCAGCAAGATGACTCAGTGTCCTTGTATTGCCAAAAAGTAGCCTTACAGGTCTCTGTGTAGAGGGTCCTTTCTATTTCTCTGGGAGGCAAAACACTCCAGGTGCAACTAGCAAAGGTCACTTGCAACCTGCAAAGTACAAAGATCCTTCCCTGGAGCCACATGGGGGTCCAGAGAGCCCAGAGTGTCTTCAGGATTCTCTCCCTCAGCTGCTTGAGTTGTGTGTGGCAGTTGTGTGCTTCCACATGGTCTTCCTTCTTTGCAGCTTTCCAGTCTAAGATGTCAAATGCTCCTCCCCCAGGTCAGTCCAAGGAAGCCCCAGTTTCCTGTCTGAACAAAGCCATCTATGACCTGTCACAGAGACTAGGGAATTTTAATTTCTATTCCTTTCAAATGGAAATGAAAGATATTGGGTCGAGTGCTATTGCACTGAGTTATTTAAAACTGGTAGCTTAGTGACTTTCATGAAATGTAAACACACTGCCAAGCACATAGGACATGGTGACTCATGGGTGACTTTCACCTTCACTTCAGCTATGCCAGTGGCCTCCATGGTACTGCAATGGTTTTGCCCTCGTCAGCTGCTTGCATTTATGTGTATGGAAATAGAGGGACTTGGAGAGACAAGCAATGGGCTTTCTGAGGAAAAAAATGTATTCCAAGCATGGTATGAAGTACAAGGAGTATTGTAAGGACCTACAGTGCTCTGAGCTTTCCTGGCTTCCCCAGAGACCTTGGCACATCACTGATCCATGCTCTATAAGGCAGAGCCAAAGCAAGAATGAGATGGAGGGGTTCCCTAGGGACAGGGTCCTGCCAGCTTGGTGAGAGGATGACAGATTCCTGAGCTATAAGAGATATGATAGTTGTTTGGGCTCTTGTTCTGTCCTAGTCCTGCCTCAAGTGGGCCAGGGAACAAGGGGCAGAGCACTCAGGTACGGAAAAGGCCAAGCACACAATATCAGGCAGGCATGCATTGTCATTGGCCGTGCAGAGTCATGTCTTGTTTTCTGTCTCCTTTCTCCCACACCTCTTGCTCCTGACCCTGACCATTCCCAGTTGTCCTTAGAGGAGAATGAGACCAGGCCTATCACTCTTACAGGTTTTCTGTTGCTTTTTTCCCTTTGATTCCTTTCACAAATTTTATTGCCATAAACCACTTCCTGGGGACAAAAATGTTTTTGCTAGACATAAATTTGAATTTAAGGTCCCTCTTGTCTGAGAAATATATAAAGAGGTACTGATGGCAGCATGAAGGATATCTGCTGAGAAAACTAGAGTGAGGTCAAGTAGGCTACATGTCATCAGATGAGGAGGGGATGGGAGGTGGCTGCTGAGGGGAGTTGTGGAATATAAAAAAGAAGAAGCTCATGTGCTTTTGAATATTTGAAGGATAAGGGTTAGAAAAGCTGGATTCTAATATAGGGCAGTCTGGGGCCTAAAACAGAACAAACCACGCCAACAGACCAATGAAACAAGCAAACACACTTCATGCTGAAGAGGTTTTTGGCCAAACAGGACTAGAGAGACATAAAAAGAAGAGAAAAAGTCAGAGCCCTAGTTTCAAAGAAATCAGGGGCAGAAGACTGCTCTCTTCTGATGCATAGGAATCAGCAGTGCCCCAAAGAAAATGCAGCTGTCAGCTTCACACCTCTCCCTACACAGCCATCAATAACCCTTTACTGAAATTGTGTGGAGAACACAAATCAAATCTATTTCTGGGAAAGAGAAGAGGAATGAAATCAGAGATGAAGCTCCCATTGGAGATGGAGCACTGTCCTCTCAGAAGCAAAAACTGCATTTTCTGTGCAGAGCTTTTCTTATGCTTGGCTGATCTTTCCAGAACAATCACCACATGGCAGAAAAGCCAGCTGTCCAGCAGAAGCAAGCACAGCAGGCAGTCCTCACTGTCTGTGTCCAGTTCTGAGTTACACAGAGCCCAAACCTGGCTGAACATCCAAGTCAGAGTTTTGAAAAGGGGTGGTTTACAGACACATCAAATGCAAAAGCTTTTCGCGTGGGGTCAACCTAACTACTGTAGGGTCTAATATTCATAAAGTTAGGATGGACGGGACAAAGCTAAGAGATGTGAACAATGAAGGCAGCCAAGAAGAAAGATGAAGGCAACTTCATCTATGAAGTGACTATGAATAATACAAAGAATGCAAGGTGATGTGTCCAGAATTATGCAGCCATCGAGGCTTCCCGAAGTAATTAGCTATATTTAAATAAATATAGCTCTTACACTCACATCTCCATTGCTTTACAGGAGTGAAGAATACAACTCAGAAGTACTATAACCACCTCAGAATGTACTAAACAATATGTTCCACTAAGCTCTGAGCAACAATATCCGCTTTTGTGATCCCTGTGTTTTCTAGGGCTTTACAGTCTTCCCTTTACTGAAGGTGTTCATTCTTCCAGAAACTCAACTGAAAAGATAATGAAAGAGAATATCATAGGCCTAAATTGCAATCTCATTTTGTTTCAGTCTACTTTCTTTGCAATCACAGCTCTCCCTAGAGTTTCAGAGCTTTCACTTCTACAGAGGGGTCACTTCAGCACACCATACCTTTGATGCCCGGAAAGAGAAGGCTGTGGACTTTGTGTCTGACTTTCCCCGGTCTTGCAGCAGAAGGCCTTGGTCCTCTGTCAGAGCCAGGTAGTGGCCTGTGGTGAGGTGCCGCAGTCGGAAAGCCTGGCCCCATCGGATGTGACTGCCACTCCAGCTGGGCAGATGACACGGACAAGAAGCAGAAGAATTCCTTTTCATTATTTAACATGTGGTTTTGTACACAAACCAGCAGACCTAAACCAGCCTTCTGACTTGGACTAGGACTCTGTGTCTTTGTGTGCGACTCAACACAGTGCTCTCCACTGACTCCCCTGAAAGATCTGAAAAGCAACATGAACCTGAGGACAGGACAATTGTTTAATAGAACCAGAATTGCCAAGTTTCTGATGCAAAAGTCACAAAATGGGTAGGTTTATTTGTTTGCTTTTTGAGATCAGGACTCACTGTAACACACGCTGGCCTGAAATGCTCCTGGCTCAGCCTTCCAAATGCTGTGATTATAGGCATGTCTTACCATGCTTAGCAGGAATATTGCTGTTTAAGGAAAACTCTTTATGAAGAATCCTATTTTCTAGAGAAATACCAAAAAGTGACCTGTGCAGTTCACCCTCCCTAGGAAGAGGAAGGTAATAAGCAAGTATAATAAGTAAGGAAATGTTGTGTTACGTGAGGAGATAAATCTTATTAAAAGATAAAAGTAGAATAAGATCACAATAAGGGAAACCCAGGTTGAATGTTAATCTTTTCATGGTCCTTGACCAAAAAGGTTAGCATTCAACAAAAGTTATGGTAACTAGTATAGGAGAAATTATTCTGTGAATAATTTCTGTGAATAACCAGTAACTCAAAATTTATCTTCCAACTTAGAAGAGATATTTTAAAGATATACATGTCCAATTTTAACATCACTTACCACTTTGACCCTTTGGGGCATCAGTAACGTTGATTAAAGAATTTAATTCTCCACATTAAGGTCTCTGTGGGCAATGAGCTAATGATCATAACTAGAACTACCTGTGTGTGCCTAGTCTGGCTTGTCGAAAGTCCATGAAGCGGAAAGAAAGGTCTAATAGCCTGAGAAAAGGGTTTTATTTACAATTTTACCATTTTATTTTTTAACAGGACTAGGAAGGGAATATAAATACCCCAAACCAGTGAACAAATGGGGGCTCTGTATAAATGGTCTTCATTTTATACTCCAAATATATATGGCTTCTGTCAATTACATCTGAATCAGTACTATTTAAATCAGTTTCCAAATAGTGTTTTAGTTAAAAAAATTAAATGAGGTGATATATATATATATATATGGAGTATAAAAGAGGTTTAATATTTTCCACCCATCTCTGGTAGATTATCTCAAGACCTCCTTAGGAGCATATATGCCTCATGAAAAAAGGCCTTAAATATGTGGTCAGGGAAACATTGAACTGAATGCTAAAGAGAAAGGCAGAGATGAAAATCCAGGTCATGGCACTAAACCTTCCTCGTCCCAAGCAGTGAGCTTTAGCATAACCTCCTATGACCTCTGGAAAATAAAGGTGCAGCATCCACATGGGCCACCCACCAGTGGTTTAGAGTTTGAGGGACATGCTTAGCTCTCATGAGCTATTCTTCTAATCCACTTCCTAGTCCTTTCACCTAAACATATTATGATCTCTGAAAAGTTCTGATAAATACCCCTTGTTCATAGGTGCAGTTCCACTGCCATCACGACTATCTGTCTCTGTCCTTAAGGCTAACTTATTACTGGAGCCAACACTTCCACTGACAGAAGGGGGAAGACTGTCTGGGATCCCCAGAATTTGCCTTAAAAAACAAATAGCAAAAGAAATTTGATAGCTTCCAGTAGCCAGGTATGAGCCTTCCTTTTATTACTCAGGCACTGAGGGTGCAGCTCAGCCATTAGGTTCAGAGTCAAAACCGTGGTCTTGGAAATCACTTACCAAGGACTTTTGAGAGTTTGTCAGGTGACGGAGAGCAAATGAAGTATTTAGGAGAATGGATTCTACTAGCAAAGCAAGCAATCTTGAAAAAAGCAACACGCAGGCCTTCCCTTACCTTATCCGAAGGGGTTCCACTCTCCACAGGGACCTGGCTCTCCTCCCAGCTCCCCCGGCTTCATAGAATATTCTCCTGGGGGCAGAGTTGGAGATCAGCACGAGGTGAGGGACAGCTCCCCGCACAGCCTGCTGAACGCCTTTGTGCTGACCCTCACAGTCAAACAAAGCCAGTCTTGCTGTCTCGAGAGGGGAGGGTATGATTCACCATTTACATACGGTCAGTCACCAGGTGCACAATAAAACTGGGCCAGCGAACATCTCCACATCTATGTGTGGGGTCAAAATAGCCCATCACACATGTCAGGTCCCCAACATAGAGTGCTCCAAGTACTTCAGGTTAAGCTCCTTGATTTGATTTTAAGTCTTTTATAAATGGCTTTACACTTTTAAAACACATCTGTAGAATAGTGTGAGCTCACTGCCATTGCTTCTGGGAGCTCGGGACACAGCCAGACGTATGCTCAGTTGTACAGTGTTCATGATTTTATTATTGCGCTATTGCTTTCTCTCTTGCATTGAGGTTGGTTATCTTTCTTTTTTTGTTTTTGGTGCCTAGGACCTAACCCAGGGCTTCCAGCTTACTAGGCAAGCATTCTACCATTGAGCCACATTCCCAGCCCCAAGCATTGGTTATCTTTTATTGCATTTATAAATATTTTTAAATTTTGTAATGGCTTTAGATTTGCAATCAACTATAAAGGCAGTTATGATCTCTTTGTTGTCTTGTTCAGTTTCCCCTGATGTATTCATTACCATATTTGTCAAAACTGAGAAAAAAACTTTGGATGTCATTACTAGTTAACCTCAAGATGTTATTTAAATTCCTTCTAAATTTTTCTCTTAATTTTTCCCATTCCGGAAGCATATTTAGGGCAGCACACTGTATTCAGCTGTTATGTCTCACCTGTTTCTTCTAATCTCTTGCGGGTCTCAGCCTTTGCTTAAGTTTTGGAAGTTTTAAAAATTATTGGGTAGATACTTAGTAAAATATCCCTCAATTTGGGTTGGCCTGATGTTCCTCTAGTCTTTGGCAAAACCTGTTTTTATTTTTTAAATTTTAAAACATTATTTATTTATTTATTGCAGTGTCTTGCTATGCAGCTCAGACTCATAGAAAACCTCTTGGCTCAGCCTCTCCAGAGCTGAGATTACAGGTGTGTGCCACCACACCTGCTTTCGGTGGCTGGCGTGGAGCACCCAGGGTTCCAGAGCCAGCACAACATGCAGTACCGGGAATCAAACCTGGGTCCTCACACTTGCCAGGCAGGTGCTTAAACCACTGAGCCATCCCCCCAAGCCTTGGAGTCTGTTTTTAAATCTGTTATACTGCAGCCGAAACAATTTAGATCCCAATTTTTGCCAAAATGGACTATCATAATTTAAGAGCACATCTCAAAAACAGTGACCCACATTAACTGGAATCCTACACCTAGCCACTTACCGTAGCCTAAGACTTCTGATCAGGACTGATCATTTCACTGCATTTAAGTTCACTAATGTAAAAGTCCTTCTCTACCTTAAAGTATTTGTTTATGTAGCTACTGAATCACTCTAGCCCCAGAATAAACTCGATTCAGATTTTGGAAACAATAGGTAAGTATTAGAGATAAAAAGAACTGTGTACTTTCCCCTTTGGAGTAATAGCATGAATTGGTTCAAAATATGAGCTTAGACCTAAATTTGCATCTGTTAACTCTGTGATTTCGGGCAGGTTTCCTTCCACTTGCTGTGCCTCAGTTTTCACATCTGTAAAAGGGGCTTAATGAGGGTACTTGCATTCTAGGATGACTATAAAGGCTCAGTATATTTTTTAAAAAGTAATTGATGTGTACAAGTATATTCATGGATGTACAAACTACTATAAATGATAGGCTTATGCAAATTTTGTATAAAACTGACATTTATAAACAGAAAAACACACTAGTGGCACAAAAATATAATGAAAAAGTATATTAACAGTGGTAATTTCTGGAAGGTGCCATTATAGAGCACATTTCTCAATTTCTGAATGCATATGTAATGAGGAGGTACTTAGTCATTATTAGGAAAGAAAAGTTTTTATTACTTTGGAGCTCTGAAACCCCAGCTGTCTCTGTACCTGGCCTGGAATGAAAATGATTTTGCAGTGACTGAGCCACTTGGAGGCATCTGCTGAGTTTTGCCCTGGGGCCTCTTGCTCTTCAGTGCAGGAAAGAAGCCCCTTCAGATGGAGGCGAAGCGGCTCAGCCCAGCTAGTGGTAAGACTGCAAGCAGCTGGCCCTGGAGGACTCCAGACCCCTGATATCTGAAGGAGTCTTAGATGTTCATTTTTCCTTCTGGGGACACCTTCACAGATTGATGTGTTTAATCTCACAAGGTTACTAAGGTTGAAACAACTTGTTCCTGTTCCTTAAAATAATTCCAAGGAGAGGAGTAGAGTGGGTGGTAAGCTGAGGTGCTTCTGAAAGCTTGGCTGACAGATCAGCCTTAGCTTCAATAGGTTCAGTGATGAGCCCAGGGCGTTTGACATGGCAGAGGCACAGGCAAGGGTCAGGGCTGAGAATGTGAGCTTGGTGGTTCGGGGTTTCCACTGTGGGACAGTGTTTCCACCAGGTCTGGCTGCTTGCGTGGTGCACGGGGGATAGAACCAGGGTCCCTGGTTAGGCGAGCCTCCAGGCACGTTCTCATTCCCCATTCCCTCTTGCACTCCTAACGTCAGCACTCCTGCTGATCCTTGGCCCCTAGATTTTCTGACACTGGAGGACCATGAAGAGGCCTCTCATTCACCTCACCTACACATCCAGGGCCATCAAGGCTTCCTGCTTTGATGGTGACTCCAGCTGATATACAGCAGCCAGGTTCCCATGGATCTAACAATAGCTATTTACTGGCCTCAATTGCAACTCCTTGCTTCCTTAAAAAAGCCCTAACATTTTCCCCCCATAATTTTATTGAGAAACAAATAGCAATGAGACAATTTCAAACCAAATTGGTAGGACAGTTTCAATAATTAACACATTGCATACATTCTTCCTAGTGGTTAATTGCTGTACAAGATGCAGACATGATATCCTATTTACAAACACCATTAGAACAAATCCCTCTATTCATTAAGAGAATGTAACTATATATCTATCCTAACCACTTTGAATACACAGATACCAAATGGACATTCATCTGTGTCCCCTTTTTTTGTTTAGTTCTGCTATTTGAATATTATAGGTGTGTTAACTCAGCAAAATATTCTAAAAGAGTCCAGTAGTCCATAATAGTATTGGGTCTTCCGCTTGACTGGCAATGTCAGAAATTGTTGACCTGAGTCCCCTACAGCTCAATATAACACCATGGAAAAAGCCCTAACATTTTTTTATGAGAGTTTCATTTTCTAAAACACAAATGAGAACCTGCAGAGTCCTAAGCACAGGCAGGCTCTGCTCTCTCTTACCTCACACGTGTCTGCATCCCATGAGCCCACTTGGGACCTGTTCTCTGTCTACCTCACCCACTCTACTCCTCCACACTAACACTTGTGTGACCATTCCTCTCAAGCAGCCACACTGGTGGCTGCTCTGGCTGTTTCCAAAGTGGCTTTCATTTGAATGCCAGGGAGGGGGGTGTGTGTGTGTGTGTGTGTGTGTGTGTGTGTTGGGAAGGTGTCTGTATGTAACGTTGAGTACCATAGTTTTTCCAAGTTACTTCCATAATAAGAAGAAAGAACCGCTGAAATTCTAAGCAGTGATGTCGAAACTTTTAATGACAGAAACAGCCTGCTTCTGCTCACGTGCTATAGATCTGCCACTGCTGTGCTAGGGCATTCCATTTTGATGCAGATAACCACAAATTGAAGCACAAAAATTTAGTTTTTGTAGCTACTTGCAAATTTTCCCTTGATGCAACAGAGTAAGATGTAAATGAAGTATTTTGCAGTCTCACTTATGAAAGAAAAGAAAAAAAAATTCTGGCACCTGAATCAGGTCACATGATATTATTTAGGGTAGGGGATGCTTAATTCTATGGGAAATGAGGTCAACCTAACTTCTCTTCTCAAGAGATCACTGGACCAAGTCAGGGAAGCAGGGTTGAATCAATCAGACACCTGAAATAGATTTGTATTTTATGTGTCCCAGGCACTGTTCTAGGTCACATCTGCTCCCCATGAAGGGATACTTCAGAGGAAACAGCAAATTGGAGAGACTTGGAACAATAAGGGGTCCGTATAGCTGAAGGATGGTTTCCATCTCTGGGCTTCTTCAGTACTTTGAAGAAAGAATGAGCTCTGTGAGTGGAGAGCTCTAGCTCCAAGGACCCCACGCAAAACCAGCTGGTGTGTACTTTCACAGAAGTCTGAGCTAGCTGATCACCAAATTGGGAAGATTTGTGAGCTTGTATTTTTGTGAAAGAGATGCAGTAAATATAAGATTCTGAACACAAAAGGACAGGAATGCATTCTTACCAAGTCAGACTTCACTCTTGCCTCAGATTCAGTCCAATCTGGGCCAGGAGTATTGCTGGTGTTTCTACTCTTATACCTACTGCTGCTGCTTCTGCTAGTATAAGAGTATCGGGGAGTAAACCCAGGGCCTTCACACTGGGCCACATTCCCCTTTAAAAACATTTTCTTTCTAAATTTTGAGACAGAGACTTGCTAAGTCACTAAGTCATTCAGGCTGTGCTCAAATTCTCAATGCTCCTGCCTCAGTCTCCCAGTGTTGCTGATACTACAGATGTATCTTGCTACATTCAGCTTTAAAAAAATACATCAGAGTTAATTATATTGTCAATCTTTTATGAATTGTGTTTTTGATGATAATCAGAATACTAAATGATTCTTAAGTACATATTTAGGGCTTGGATTAGCATACTCCATCTCATAGTTTGGAAGTTTTGATAAGCCCCATCAGCAGATCAACTAGAGGACCAGAGAACATGACCTCAGCAGCGCCCTCTTACTGTTGTTCTTGGCATTGTTCGCTGCTGAAACCAACTTCTACCACACACAGACATTAGGCTTCTCCAGTTGGTAACCTAAGTCAGCAAACTGCACCTCATTTACTTAGTGCATGAAAAGGGAAGAAGAGTGCCTTGAATACCTGATCAAGAATTTCTGAAAGCACACAGACTTCCGCAATGATTTCCCTGGTTTCCATCCATACACTAGGTGCTTCGGCTGAGAAATGCTAGTAGAAACCCATACTCAGAAGCAAACTGAAGAGAACAGCTTGTAAGGCATTAGAGGCTTTCTCTCTCTCTCTCTCTCTCTCTCTCTCTCTCCTCTCTCCTCTCTCTCTCTCTCTCTCTCTCTCTCTCTCTTTCCACAAACAAATGTTGCTGTCTTTCCTACTTTACACACTGGAACTAAAAGGTGAATTAATTGAGCAAAATGAACAGAATTTATCTGTGGTCAAACATACAAATGCAAACCCTAGTTTGAGTGCCCTGCGATAGCTAAGGAAAGGATGGCGCCGCAGGCTTACCTGTGCTGGGGGTCGTTCTGGTCTGTGGATGGTATTGTCAAACACTCATCATGACCGTGAAAAAGACGTACCACGTGCCCACCAAGTAGATAGCCTACAAAAGAATGATATTCTACCATGAGCTAATGTGGAGCTTAAAGAGCACATTATATCTGTAAAATGTATGTCTATGCAGGTCTGGGCCAGTTAGAAAAAACATGAAGAGAGATATAGTTGGGAAATTATGAATTCCATCAGCTCAGGTATTAAGCAGAAAAGAAAGCCGAGACCATTTTAACCCTGAAAGTTAAATAGACACGCTTGCAGAAGTGAACAAATCCAGCATCAAAAGGTAAGGTGAAAATAGTGTTTCAATTGATACCATTTTCTTTAAAAGAATAAAGAAAGATAGTTACATTGCTGCTGTTAGGAAGATAAGGATTTTCAGTTGCTTAGGATGTAGGACACCAATGCCAATTTCCAGCTAAGTTCCTACAACCTCACTGTGTATACTCTGTGATGAAATCTAAATCAAGGTCATAGTCATGAGAAAGAAAAACGGGGTTGAGAAAGTTGGCAGCAAACTGCTGTTCAGAGCTTCTTGAAAGGCTCTTAGTTCAATGAGAAGAATGATTTGTACTAATAGTATTTAGACAAGATATCACGGCTGCATCTTGTACTATGAATAATTACTATGAAGACAACAATGTGCAATGTATTAATTATTGTAACTGTCCTACTAACCTGTTTTGAAACTGTCTCATTGCTATTTCCTTATCAATAAAGTTAATTTTTAAAAAAGAAAGAAAGGAGCTGGCCGTCAGCTACATTTCACAAATGTAGCTCAGGTCTGCAGGCTACTCTTGCAGCAAGCACAAACGGGGAGGCAGAATTTGTCCCTCGCAGCTCTAAGTGGACAAGCAGGGCTGCTGCTTTCCACTGAGGCTGAGCTCTCTGAACGAGGTAATCTTTGTAATCACAGAGCCTAGATTTTGAAAGGAAACAGTGACCATCGAGGACATGATGACCTGCTAGTGTTCAAATAAGTTTTCAGCTTTAATTTAAAACAGCATAGCAGGAGAGGACCCAGTCTAAATTTGCTTCACATGAAGAAATGAGATTTGCTATTCCTCTAACTTAGAAAATGCTCCTGAGTACTCTGTGCTCAGGAGACATGGATTTAATGTGTGCAATGCCTGTGTCACGATTTGTTTTAAGTCACATAATTAGATCATTGAAAGAACTGTCTTAAACTTTTGGGATGCTGAATTAAAACAATAATAATGAGAAGTCACATCAGAGGGAAAAGTGCATCTTGGACAGCGACTGTCAAATACTTCTTCTCTCTCTCCCTTCCCATGCCTTTTTGTCAGCTAGGCAAGGAAAGACTTCATTAAACTGCTTGCCAACATTCAGGAAGTCCCCTCTGCCAATTTTCTACATCTTATTTTGTTAATATTTTCAGCTACATACTTTTCCATTAAAATAATTCATGAGATACTGTAATTTTATTTAGAAAATTAAATACTTCAGCATCGAGCTCCTGCGCAAACTATCCTGATCTTGGGACGGTGAGGCCACATCCCACCGAGTCCACTGTGCACAGCTAGCAGGTTTCTCAGCTGATGGCCTCCTCACACAGCACAGGCTGCTATGTGTGGATGCTCAGGGGCTGCTTTGAGTGAAATCTGGAGCCCTGGTCAGGGAGGAAGCGGCGTGGTGAGACACCAGGGCTTCTGGGGGCAGAAGCAGGTCTCTCCCCGGAGGGCTCAGGAAGGGGCTTTTCTATACAGACGACTGAGGAACCAGGCTGCCAGCCTCTGTCACTGCAGCATGCTCACTGCTGCTTCCATGAGGGCCTTCTGATGTGCTTTGCGAATGTTCCTTAATTAATTTCCACAAGTCCTCTGCTGGGACTGAGAGATAATTTTATCCCTACAGTTAAAATTAAAAATTTCCTGTTGAGACTGAGGCAAAACTTTCTAAGAAAGATTTAAATCTGGAGGATTTTTTACTTCTGATGTGGGAAAGATCGAGACTCCAATTCAGGCTGGTGGGTTAACTAAATTCATAGTAATGCCAGCTACTGTATAAACAGTGCCTGGGGCATTTTAGCAGCGTTTGCTGGACACAGCACCATAAGCCAAGTGAGTAGCTAACCATTAAGTTCCATGGCCCACACCTCAGAAGGCTAGGCACATCTTGCTTTATATAAAAACTTTCCACAAAGTACTGAAAGAGTTAAGAACCTGGCATCTCCCAGTTGTTCACTTTACCTATGATGCCTTCTGAAACTGAAATAGCACCTTGACAACTCTTATTTTTCCACTTCTTTTCAAACATCAGAACAGAGAAGGGCATCCCCACTTTGAAACAACTAGACTTGGGGAAAAATAGGATTAATGCCTATGATATGACTATTTTTAAAAGTTTTGATCTTACTTTAAAGAGCTAGAATAGAATGTAATAACCCCCAGGTCACTGACATAGTATTGCTTTGCTTAGCTGTGGTATCACCTATGATGAGACAAGGCCTGTCTGTTCATTATATAACCTGCAAGGTGTGCTGATTGCCTGCTGCAGAAAGCAGGATATGAGCACAAGTTTGGAAGATATTTCCAAGGAAAAAGTAAAAGGCAGGGAAATTTTCACTTACTTTTGTTTTAAATGGATTTGATTGTTACAGGTTCTCACTATGCAGCCTGGACTCATAGTGATCCTCTTCTTTTCGGCCTCTCCATTGCTAGGATTACAGGTGTACACTACTATACCCAGACACTGGCCAGCTCAGCCTGCCCTGGGGGCAGTGCTGGCGTGGCATGTGGTGCCAGGGATCGAACCCCAGTCCTTGTGCTTGCCTAAGCAGGTGCTTTAGTCTGCTGAGCTATCTCATCAGCCTCTCTCTTACTATTTTTAAATGGTGTTCCATAAAGACAAATAAAGTAATGATTAAGTACGTTTTCATTATAGAGGAAGTTCTTCCCTTGTATGAAGAAAGGCCTAGGGAAAATATAAAAAGGGTAAACTATCTCTTCTAAGATGGAGTTACTAAGGTCTGGGCACTTGTAAGTATAATTAAAAAGGAAAATGAGAGGGAATGACAGACAGAGGGACAGAAAAAAAAGACAGAAAGAAAGTGTATAATCAAATTCTGAGTGCATATGATGCTAAACTAATAGTGGGCTCCACATGATTAAAAAATGAAGCTAGGAATGCTCATGTACCTGAAGTTTTCAAGGCAGCAAATAATCCATGACGACATCACTAAAAAATTTAAGCAAACTACAATCATCCTACTTGTATACCAAGATATTCAGATGGGAGCTGAGAAATATAGAAAATGTCAGTTTGTACAGCACAAGAGAGATTGGCAGGCTCAGGGCTGACAGCACACAGAAAAAGCACACCTTCTTCGATGCTACTTCCTGAGCACGTAGGATGAACATTCCAGAGGGTTTGTATGAAGGAAGCATCCACTTGTATGTTACCGTTGGATATTGAGAGATGCTGCGGCAGAAACAGAATGAAATATTCTTTAAATCACCAGTCCAGTCCCAACAGAGCAGTTCATCTATAATTTCAAGGATCAAATTAAACAGTTTTCCTGTCACTTGGCTTTTTCTACATAGCCCGTGGGAGATTTCTCCGCCCCATGTGGAAGCAGCTTCAAAGAGGGACATTTTATTCTGGGAAGAGGAAGTGTTCAGTTACAGAGGCAGCAGACAAATGTTGACTTTATCCCTCAGCAAGCCATAAAATGTTTAATCTTCATAGGATAAAGAAACTCACAAACGGGAAAAACTACTCCAGCATTTGGACAAGCTAAAGCAAAACCTGCTGACAAGTTTGACTATGAAAAACTACTGCGAAGCTTAAAAACTTCTTTTTGACATTTCTCTCACATGCCCCCCACCAGCCAAGAGCTGTCAGTGCCTCCTGCCTAGCGTGCAGCCTTGCCTGGAAGACATCACCTGCGTCTTCCAACCTCTGCTACACCCACGCAGCAGCATGTCAAATTTTCCTGCTTTCTCCAACAAAAGCTTATTGTCTTGTATTCCACTCTTTCTGGCTTGTTCTCCACTGGGAACAAGCCAAACTTCAATAAATTCATAGTAATGTCAGCTACTGTATAAACAGTGCCCGGGGTGTTCTAGCAGCATTTGCTGGACACAGCACCATAACCCAAGTGAGTAGCTAACCATTAAGTTCCAGGGCCTGCAATCATCTAGGCAGGGATGACAATGTAACTGCCTTGCAAGTGTACTGTGCAAAGGTGCCTGATCCTGCCTGACCTGGAGGGGGTTGGGTCCCCTACCCATACTGGGAGGGATCAGTTGGCTAGTTATCCCTCCAAGGAAAAGTTTCATAAACAGAAGGTACCTGTGTGGGAAGGTACTTACAAGGTATCTTTCAGAGGACACACTGACAAGGATGAGGTCGTCTCCAATTCGCACTTTCTCTCCCTCAGACCGCTGTTTGGAAGCAGGATGTATGGTCCACCAGCAGGCCTCTCCTACACAAAGGCTTCTCGTGTTAGTATTGTTTCCTAGAAGGCAGTGTCCCTGATTCTGTCCTTCATTCTCCTATTCCCTAATGACAATACTTCAAGCACACACACTTTCTCCCAAGATCTCTTGCTTCAGATTTCAATTTCCGTTTACCTACAACCATCTCGATGGCCTCATATACGCTCTTAAATACACCTTTCATTTCCATTTTCCCTAAAGACAAACAGATGGAGTTTGGGGAAGAATACTGGAGGCAGAGATTGTAGAATGCTTTGAGTATTTTTAATGCATATAGAAAAATGCTTTCTCTACAGTCCCTGTCAAATTCTTAGGAATTGATTTCACTGGTCTACTGAGCACTTACACACTCTCTCTTTGCTTCCCACCCTTCATGAAAGAATACTAGATCTAAAACAAATACTAAAATTCTAAAATGCGATATTAAAGGGACTTACAGCATTTATTTATTTAGATTCTGAGAATTTAACCTAGTGCTTCAAACATGCTTTACCTCTCAGATACACACCCAGACTTTTTTTTTTTTTAATTTTGAGACAGAGACTTACTAAATTGCCCAGGTTGGCTTCAAGCTTTTGATCCTCCTGCCTCAGCCTCCAGAGTAGCTGAGATTATAGGCAGATGTCATTACATCCAGGAAAGAGGGTATTACTAAAGGCATAATCCAGTATAAGAACTAAGATAGCATGTAAAATATTTGTAGCAAGAAAAAGAAGTTTACAGGGGGGCTGGGGAGGTGGCTCAGTAGAATAAGCGCTTGCCTGGTGAGTACAGGGGCCTGAGTTCAATCCCCGGTTCCGAAAAAAAAAATCTAAAGAAAAAGAAGTTTACATTCTGGAAAGCAGAAAACTCATAGATGCTTTTAAGCAAAAGAAAGAAAAAAGCCAAGTTCCTGAGTAAGACCAATCCCTGCCGGATTCTTTAGAAACATCTCTGAGACTAGAGGTGAAAGTTACCTGTGAAAACTGCAGCAGATCAGTTGAAAACAGGAAGGCTAGACAAAGGCTTTAAGAGACAGTGAAACTCAGATCCCTTCTCCACCTTATGCAGATGGATGACTTCTTTCTCCATGCTACAGTAGAATTCTAATTAATAAAATGATGTGTCATCAAGAGGCTGGTCTTAGAAATGCCAGACACTGTCAAATAATGAAGTCAAGAGCCTTTCAGAGAAGAGAACAGTTTGCCCTTGATTGCTAACAGCCCAGCTCTTCTCCCTGTGTTGTCACCTCACAGTTTCTAGAATACCAGCCATGAAGTTGAACCACCTGATTCCCACTCTCCAAAATAAAAAAATATTTTTGTTTCAGGGTCTCCTAAGAAATGCCAGGTCACTGTTAGATGACCCCAAACTGAGGCCTAGCAGATGCCATGCCATACCCAGCTTCAACTACCTTGACCTCAATATGCGTGAAGGCCAAGGATGCCCTGGAATCTGAGGAATGTCTCTAACAAGTAGGACAGGAACAGAATAAAAAAATGACAGGTAAGGAAATTGGAGAAAACTAAGATGACAGAGAACAAAAGAACTTCAAAGGCCAGCAAGATAGCTCAGCAGACTAAGTGCCTGCTTTGGTAAGTACAAGGACTAGGGTTTGATCCCTGGTCCTGAATGCTGTGCTGGCCCCTCCCCTGCGGCACACTGACCCAGCAAAGGAGTCTGAGCATGGTAGCACAGGCCTGTGATCCCAGTGCTGGGAAGAATGAAAATATGAGGATCAGTATGAGTCCCACCTGCATAGTGAGACCCTGTACCAATACATAAATGAAAAAAAAAAGAACCTCAAGACAACTTACAATTAATAATGTCACAGAACTAAGCAAAAAGCTACATTCATGAAACAGGTGTGAAAGCATCTCAGAGAAAAAGAAAAATATTATTATTAAAATTTCCCCAATCCTAAAAGCAAAAATTTCCAGATTGAAAGGTCCTATAGAGAGAGCCTCCAGTGTGGGGAAGAACAGGACCTACACCAGGGTTTGTTCCTGGGAAGTTTCAGAGCACAAAGGGTCTACAAAGACGCATGTTGTGGAATTGCACACCCTAGGGGGAAAAAGGTATTTGAAGTTTTCAGGAAAGATAAACAGTCACACAGAAAGCATCAGAAATAAGAAAGTTGACTCTTCAAAATTCAGACCATAAGCTAGAAGAAAGCTTTCAAGAATCTGAGAGAGAAAACATTCCAATGCAGAATTAAACTAAACTATGAATTACTGGTGAGCTGGAATTAAGAAACTTTCAGACAATTTCCTTCCCACAGGCTTCTTTCCCAAGAGTTACCAAGTAGCACACTATAGCAAGATGAAGTGCTAAACTAAAAAGGAGAAAAAATAAAGTAAACGATCAAAATACCCACGACATCCAGGAAACAGGGAATCGAGGAGAGCAGCGAAGGCAAAAGTAATTCCCTGACTGGTGGTAGATATTTGTAACACAAAACAGACAGAAGAGTTAATGCAACTGACTATGATGAGCAGAGATGTTCAGCACTGCGGGGAATATTGAGAAATAAATAATTGCGTCAGAGAAAACTAAACAAACAAGGACATTTTTAACTATTGAAAACCAAAGGGTGAAACTGACCACAGTATTAATGACTTATTTGAAAGTAAAATTACAGTTATACCAGTGTAAATGCTTAATATTGATTGGCAATTATATACAAACAGATGTAAAAAATATATTGAAAGTGTGGAAAGAGAAGAGAGAAGTCAAATGAATGTAAGAGCTAAATTTTTAATAAAGACATTAACAGATAACACTTAGTATAAAAGAATAACAAGACAGCAGTATGTGCATAGTATTCATAAATAATGGGAAACTACCAGCAGAGCTGAAAGCAAATATCCCAGAGAGGCAGGAATCAACAGCAGGGAGTATGGGAAGGCTGGAGAGTAATATTTTTAGCAAACTTTAGGATACTGTTTATCTCTTTAAACCGTACATGAGTATTCTTTTGGTTTTTGTATTTTTTTGCAGTACCAGGGATTGAATTCAGGACCTTGCACTTGCCAGGCAGGCACTTATGCTATTGAGCTATATCCCCAGCCCATGAGTATTCTTTTGATTAAACTTAAAATTATATTTCAGAGGAGGCTAACTTCTACATTAGAATAAGAATAGTGGTGCATGTGTTACTTATGAACTCTGTGGTCCACTGGGGGTATCTGGTAGAAAGAGGGCCCTGAACAAGCCTACAGGGAAAGGCAAGCGTGGATTTTCTTGCCCTCGCCTGTGCACCAGGGCCCAGGGATGGTGGTGTTCTCTGAATCAGTAGTGGCCAGTTACTGGCCAGCACTTTTAGTATATGTGTGATTTTTATAAATTGTTTTCCCTCTAAGTCTACATTCTAAAGTTTCTTAATTCTTAAAAACAGGAATCATCTTGGTCACCACATTTCTTAAGACCCATATCTTTGCTGTCATTACAGGAGAATATAAAGAAAGCAAAAAAGGAAACAACATCAAAGGTGAAGTAATCATTAGTTCTGTTAAGTCTAAGAATTATGATCCATGTGTAGGGGAAAATATACCTTCAGAGCTGATCAATAAACTTCTCCCAGACTTTTTCCTCTCATCTCTTGGAACATTTAACTCAACTCATGAGTAATTTACTTGTTCTCAACTCTGAAGAGTTTTCTTTGCCAAAAGTGGATTCACAAGAGATTCACTCCCCCCACCCTGGAAACAAGATCCTATCCTGTTGGACTCTGACTCTTGCCTTGCAGTGAGCAGATACCAGGTAATAAGGAACCTTTCCTGAGCTGTGCATTTCTTCTGCCTGACATATACCTAGCTAGCTTTATTTAAGGAGAATATGAAATGGGAGATGCTAGGAGATAGCTCAGTGAAAAAAGTGCTTGCCTGGGAAGTATAAGGTCCTGAGTTTGATCCCTGGAACCACCCCCCCACCCCCCAAAAAGGAGAATATGAAATGGGTTAAAGCCAAGGAAGATGAAAAGATTATTATTTTCAGCCCTAGGTTTTCATGAAAATTCAGCCAAGCCTTCTCTATCTGCTTCTGCCTCATCAGCTTCTTATCAAGCAACTTGGACTGGAGCTGGCTAACATGCTTGCCTGGTTTGTGAGCTCAATCATGCCAAGAAAGAATCCAGGAATTAAAAAAAAAAGTGGTGAAGAGTAGTATTCTCTGTTGCTATTTCCCTTATTTATTCTTGAGGTTCTAACACTGAAATAAAATAGATTCCCTGAACTCTTGACTAGAAAGTGGTATTTCTCAATTTCTTTCAACTTTCAGGAAGTATAAAGTCATATTACTGATATAAAAAGATTGGCCATATACATTTGACTTTTCAGATTATGTGCTTGAAGATTGACAGCCGGTTTGTATGCAGAGGCCAGCTTACATTTGGAGGAGGTGGCACTTCACTCTTGGTCATTTTAAGCAAAGGTGACAACACCTTAGAGCAAATCATATTTTAAGAAAAACACATTAGCTCAGAAGCAAAGGAACTTAAGATCAAATTCAATATAATCTTACTTTAGAAAAATAGCTCACAATGGGAAAAGGCAGGCCCAGTCATCTGCTTTATGCAAAGTGAGAACAGCAATAGGAAAGAAAGGTGCTTTACTCAGACACCCTCAGGGCTGCACTGTGCAGGATGCGGATATGGCAGCACTGTGCTGAGCAGCTGGATTTCTTTTCTAGATCACCTATAAAATCAGGCAAATTTGATCCTTTCCTTATAAACTGACCCAACTTTAGAATAAGAGCATAGATTTTTGTCCTCCTTTAATTATGCAACATTGGAACTCCCATCGTACTTAGGGGAAAATGACCTGCTGTTGAAGATTGCATGGAAGTTTGTCTTTTCTAGAGCATGACCTAGATCATTTTTCTAGCTTCTTTTTCCTCTTGCTGGCAAATTTCCAAGTCTGGTTCTCCAGTTTTGGTGCAGACTCTACCCAAATCCTTTCAGTAAATCCCTAATTTGGTTGAGTTAACCTGTATCAGAGTGTTTGCAGACAAGAATCTTGGTGAGAATTAGACCCAACCTCTAGAGCAGAAATTTCATATACAATAACTTTGACAGATTTCTCATGAATACTTTCAGTTACAGGGAGCATGCTACCTCCCTATGCCAGTTGTTTCTCTGCTGGTTACTTACAGATATTACAAAGGATGTTCTTTTGTGGAGGTGAAATGTTCCTCCTTTTAACTTCTATCCAATGCTCTGTTGGTCTTTGGAATAACCCATGAGATGTTGGCACCTTCTTAGATGGTATAAGTTCTTGAAAATGTTATCTTAGTCCTGTGTTCTTCATTTCTGGTTTCCAGTGAGAACATGCATCATAGGTCACCACTTTTCTTAAGATCCATTTCTTGAGTATCATTACTTTTTAAATGCGCACACACACACACACACACACGCGCACACACACACAGCATGAGTGGTTCTCGAAGTACAAGACATATACCATTGGTGATAAAGACCAATGACATTGACTCCTATGGTGAAAATTTTATGTGATTGCCATCCTCAGCTAATTCTATCCAAAAAAATTTTAAGTTGGGAGCCCATGTAACTAACCCTTTGTTAACATTTACCTGCATCAACTCAATTGTTTAACAACATGCTTTTCTTTTAAGTTTACTTTTGTGGCGAGCTCTATCAGATCTCTACATACAGGAAGGATATAACTTATTTGTGAATGTTTAGACAAAAAAATAGAAAAAAAATTAAGGAAAGCCAAGAAGTAAATGGTATTAAAAAGAATATATTAGAATGGAGAAAAGGATGGTGACTGTCATGGCTAATATTTGGAACAATCTTTAGAAATATGTTGTTCATTGCAGTATAAATAGACTCTTCTTCATTAGCCTAGACACTATACTTTATTACTGGGCTCTCACTATGTCACCTTTTTTCCTTAGCTGTTACTTAGCATCACTGGCTCTCATCAGGAATGACCTATTTTCAGTACCAAATGCCCACAAATAGTTTTTTTTTTTTTTTTTGAGACTCTAGCAGTTGTGGTTAAAACATTACACTTTCCTTCTGTCTGAGTTCTCATGTTTCCATAGTCTACAATCCTATGCCTTTCACACATTCTTTATTTAGTTCTTCATTCTGTAAAAGTTTGTCAGACTTCCCTCTTGACCTGGTTGGTCAGAAATCCCAAATGAATAATATATTGAGTGTTGTCAAAATTTCTAGTACAAGGGCCCAGCGGGCAGGAGCTCTGGGGGCTCCGACTTACCTGTGGCATGTTCCCGGAGACCTACATCAAAGGCAAGTTTATCTGTCTGGGATCTTGACGTAGTCAAACATGTGAGATACTGTGAACAAAAGCAGATCTAATGAAGTCGCGCTCCCCACCAGGCCTGGGTTCCCCACACAGGTCAGCTTCCCATTAACTTTGGTAATGCACTCCTGTGAAACGGGCTCACTTGTCTTGCTCATTAGAAAGTCAATTGGTACAATGCTTTTAGAAAAATACTTTTCCAATACATTTAAAACCTTACTGCATGACTTGGTGATTTAGTTTACAGGACTGCTTTGTTATGGAAATGAATTTAAAATACTAAAGATGTCTTAGTTCAAAGATCCTCTAACACACTTTTAAACTGGGAACAATATAAATGCAACATAAATGACAAACAATAATGGCAAGGCCAGGGACACGCTGGCATTTCTATTGCACAGAATATTATTGTATTGAGTGTTTATTAAGAGTGGGTAATAGTGTGGAACTTTATCATACATTGAGTTAAAAGGTCATATATAAAAATAGTGTATTTGCATAGCTCACATGCTCATGAAATTAAATGCCTAGCAACCCATCTAAAAAGAATTACACTAGAATGATAAACAGTAGTTGTATTTGGTGTGGGGAGGAGGTGCGAAACCCTGGGTGATTTTGATTTTAATTTTTTAAATGCTTTTTCTCCGATAAAAAGATATATGTGCAGACAAAATGCACAATGATTTTAAAGCAGTAGGACAGAGGAATGCTCTCCCTCCGCTAGCCCATTCCCTGCCTCTTTCATGGGCTCCCAGGGAGACAGTTTCAGCCTCGAGAAGAGGCTTCTAGGGAACATACTTTTTGAGCTGCACTTCCAGCTCTCTGCAAGAAGATGGAAATCACTGTAAGTCACATTTCATTGACTATATTCCCACTGCTGCTCTTCAAGGGAAGTAGCCAGTGCAGAATTTTGTTAACTGGAACTTTGTGAAGAGAAGCAAACACAATGCTAAGAAGCACGAATTTCCCTGTCTCTGCCAGTGTCCCAGACTGAGTCTTCCAAGCCGGAAGTGGTGTGCTGCTTGAGGGTTTGTTTCTTTTTTAAATTACTTTTATTGAGAAAGAAACAGCAATGAGACAGTTTCAAAACAGGTCAGTAGCACAGTTACAATAATTAATATATTGTTGTCTTCATAGTAGTTATTCATGCTTGAGGTCTTGTTTATTTTACTGCAGTGGAAAAAGGGAGGCATAAGAGTTTTATTGCCCTATAGCTAGGAGATAGATTTTAAAAGATAAATAATCATCTCATAGTCCCAGAGACAGATAGGGTACAGTGCTTCCCCACTCTCAGAGAGCCCCAATCTCCTACTCAGAGACACTTGGTCATCTTTTGTGCACTACCTTTTACCAGGAAGGACTACAACATATGAATATTCAGGCTGAAGGTCTACCACTTGCCAGTACTTGGACAAAACACTGCAACAAATAATTTAGGGGGAAGCTGCTGATCCTGCTGGTGATCTAATAGTTCAGCTTTTGAAGTAAATTTGCATGATGTTGTGGGTATGAATATATGAAAATAAAGTCTTGTAGCTATGCCTCAGGGTCCCACTAGGGCTATGGAAAGAAGACAATCTTCCTGAATTGCTAATGAGTGAGCATAATATACCTAGGAATTGAGGGTAAATCTTCTTGGAGTTGGCACATATACTTGATTGTGAGCATTACTATTCTTCTTAATATTACCTATAAAAGATCTGTAATATCTGCATTTATAAGTTACATTTATTAAAACTTTGCTGCGTATTCTAATTACATTGAGTTATACCTAATTAGTTACAGCCTGAGCAGCTTTCTGTCACCGTTTTATCCCTCATCTTCCTCCTGCTTCTGGATTAACATAATACCTTCAAATTCTGCCAGGATTGAAGGCCTCGGACATCATTCCATTTTGTTTAGCTAGGTAAAACAGGAAAAAGTGGCAAAGGCCCCCTTTGATTGCTTTCTCTTCTCTGTTGATTATCCTTTTATGCTAATGAAAGCATTTGTTTCAGGGTTCTTTTGACCAGCCATGAACAGAACAAAAATTTATTGAGCATCTAGGATGTCTAAGAACTTGGCTTGGTGGGACTAGGTTTAATGAAGTCAAATAAAATGATGTGACTCCTTCCCTAATTGAGTGGATATATATCAGACACTAAATGAATACAAACATATTTCTGAAATTTGGGGTACCTGAGATGAAAGCAAAGCTAGGACAGTATTGAACCATAATTACTTCTATTCTAAATTGCTCCCGATGCTAACATGGAGCTGCTGTTTCTTATTCTGCTCTCCCCTTCATCTTGTCTCTCCGCAAATGGGGTGGTGCTTACCATTCCACTGAAAGAGTGCCGCAGGAGAATTGCATGGCCGTACAACAAGGTCCTGTGGCCACCCCCTTGCGCTGCCTGTGGGAATGAGGAAAAGCATCAGTGGGTCCCAGCTGTGGCTTCTCTGACTGCAAAGTAGAACAGAAATTCTGGGAGGCAGACTCTGAGGCGAAGACTCGTTGCCAAGCTCCCCAGGAAATCATTCCAGCAGCGGGCGAGGGGCTGGCTGATGGGCAGAAGGAGTCTTGTGACCACAGCCATGCAGCAGCCTTGGCAGAGGACCTGGGGCTACACCTCAGAACTGGCCTGCCCACAGTCTGCAGACCAGCGACCAGGGCTCTTCCACCAGAGAAGCGTATAAATGACACAGGTGTTGCTTACCTTGGTTTGAAACTTCTCAGAAGCATTCAGAGTGAGAGAGAAATAAAGCATGATGAAACCACAGTCCAGCAACAGCAGGGCAGCTCATGGGCAGCTGTGCACTTGCGTGCTGCATGTGTCTCGAGTCCTTTCCCCTTCTCCCCTCCCTTACCTGGGCCTTCTTTCACAGCCTCTCTAGCAAGAGATGTTTTGACATCTGGAACTCAATACGTCCTCAGTGGCAAGACCACTTGGAGTCTCCTTGCCTGGCCAGTGGCTACACTTTGGCTGTCACCTCTGTTAGTGCCCAAATAGCATAGAGGGAGACGCAAGAGGAGGCAGCCACACAGTGATACGTTGAATAATATACATGAGACCAAACTGTAATTTACTCCAGTCATAAGTGAGAAAGTAAAATGGAAAAACTGAACACTACAGAAAATTCTAGAATTTGTTGGCATCATCTGCCCTCTTACTAAATCTCTCCCTCCTAACCTATCCCCATTGTCCTAGCCTCACTGACCTATCCTTATTGCAATAACCTATCCCCAGACTGTTAAAAAGTTTTGTTCACACAGCTTTGCGTTGCCCTCCTCAAAACTGCACAAAAGAGAAGCCAAAAGCCTAAGATCATATCCATTGAGAACTCCCAACACTGTCCTGTCCCCATCACCCTGTACTCAGAGCAGCAGTCCCGCCACCCCAAGGGTGCTCTGAGGGTTTATCCTGGCCCAGGGCTCCTCCCCAATCACAGCAAGAACAGTGCCGAGCAGAGGAAGGCAGCAGCCTGGACAGCCCGGCCTCGAGTGATTCTACTCCACCTCTCCTCGGATTAAGAGAATCACTCTGTCAAAGAGATGATTTTTTTATGTTACACAATGAGCCTAAAGAAGAGAAAGGAAGATAAGCATGGTATCATGTTCCACAAGAACTGATAACTAAATATAAATGCGGCCGTACTTTCTTTCTACAGCTATAAAGATATTTAAGTGTTCTTTAGACTTCAGTAGGAATAACAGTGAGCTTCACAATATTTCCAAAATTTGTGAAATCATTTGCACTGACTTCAGTTTCTATATTTACAAATGTGTCAACACCTCACATCAAAATTAAACACACTAAATAATTTTCTCATCTTGTCAGTCTAACTGAAACTGTCCCTAAACACTTGCATTCTTGCAAGTTAACCAGCAGCTCCTGAAGGCTTCGGAAGCCACATCCTCCCGAGCCAGGCTGGGTCTTAAGTGAAACAACTGACTAAGTTGTATCTCGTGCTGTTAGCTGTGTGTCACTCCTTCTTCCACCTCCTTTTTTTTTTTTTTTTTTTGCTGTGGGGGACGGTACTGGGAATTGAAATGAGGACCAGGCAGGCGCTTATGCCACTGAGCTACCTCCCCTCCAGCTCTTCTGAATCCCTATCAGCTCTGGAATCACATGAAGTCAAAGTTCAAAGATACTAAGCCCAAAAAGCAGCACTAAAGGACCTGAGCTCCTCTCCTTCTCTGACTCTTTAAGAAGTATCTCTCAGTCCTCCTGTCCATCTTTAGGGACCACCAGAAAAGCAGAGGGAGGTGAGTGTCCACTGCAATTGAATGGAAGCAGAACCCAGGAGCCTTCCTACCCCAGACTGCCCCTTTTATATGAAGGTGGCCTTGGGTTCTGGTGGATGCCAGGCTCATATTCTATGCAGTAAGCCTGAGAACGCGCACTTTTGACAAGTGCCGGGCGACACAGAGGTTGCTGGTCCAGGGAGACTAAGAACCAGCCTTTGAGGGAATGATCATGCTTCAGAGTCCTCATTCTGAGAGGCAGAGGGATTCTCCTGAAGCCTTTGGTGGCTGCTGTGGTGGTCATGACACACCCTGCACCATCAGCTCCTCATGGCACTTTTCAAGGAAGGAAAGACTTCCTCGAGCTTGCATGTGAGGGATGTGGTGCTGGAGGAAGACAGGTTTCACGTGCCACATATCCCAGCTGTCCAGGGGGCTGGGAGATGTGACCTTAGACTTAAAAACAGATCCTGGGCCGATGTAGCTCTTTGTGATACCCCTATTTGGCTGCTGCACACAAAGTAAGGATACCAAGCATCAGTAATGACTATGGTAGCAATCTCATTGTACAGCTATGTAAACTGAGGCTTAAAGCAATTAAGCAAATTCCCCAAAGTCATATGGGTTCCAAGTCAGGCCTTAATAAAGACAAGGGCAGTTAGTCATATGCCATACTATCTCCTTTTCTATAGCTGGGTAGGGCACATAAAAGTGGTGTAAAAAAATCAAGTAACAAAAACATCATGCCCATTCAAAATGGGAAACAGTGGTGGAATAGACTCTGAAGGAACATGTGTTAGAGAAGAGCTTTATTGCAAGGCAGAGCAACCACAGACTATGATATGTACTGATGCTGAGAGAGAGGAGGCTGGAGCAAAGGCGTAGAACTAGAGGCTATGGGTCACAGGGATTAGAGGCTACAAATCATAGACTAGAGACAATGGATCACAGGGATTAGAGGAGATGGGTTACAGGGATTAGAGGTTAAGGGTCACAGGGACTATAGGCTATGGGTCACAGGGACTAGAGGCTATGTGTCACAGCAATTAGAGGCTATGGGTCATAGGGATTAGAGGCTACTAATCACAGGAGTTACAGGCAATGGGGCCTGTGGCTGTTCACTGGTTTGCTTTGGCACAGGTGAGTGAGACATCTGGAGACTTTTAGGGCTAAGACTGAAAAGCCCAGTGGGTGGACTCCACTCCACAGTTAACAGGCCCCTGGGTTAGGTTCTTAAAAAGACCTTCCCTTTATGATCAAAACTGTGCTTTAGAAAGGAACTCTGATTGCACAAAGGTGGAGGAGTGGACGGATCAAGCCTCAGGGGGTAGAATGGACAGTTCTCTCATTCGGCTACATAACATTAGGAGGAGTGAGTAAAGCAAAGATCTCAGGGTCATCTTTTTCTACTTTTTAATTTTCACATCCCATAGTCAAAAGCAACATTTGGTGCCAACTTCAAAATATACTCTACATCCAGCTACCCAGCACCCTGCTGCTACCACTCTACCACTCTTGTGCATTCCACAGCCCCGTGTCTTGCCTCGACTGAGAATGGCCTCCTAACTTAGTGCCCTCCTCTGCCTCTTCCTCCTGCTACGTGGGGCACCACAACTGCAAATCACATCCAGCAATGCTGTGGCTCAACCCTCCCTCACCCCAGAGGCTTCCTATCCTGTTCAGAGGTACGAAGTGCTTGCTGTGCCCTCAAAGACCATGTTTCAAGAATTGCAAAATGTTAATTGCAAAATGTTGCTAAAAATAGCAAAAGCTATTTTTTTAGGCTTTGTGGACTGCATATGAAGTGTGTCACATAGTTCTCTTCCTCTTATTTAAAATAATCTTTATCAGACTGAAAAAGCATTCTTATTCTAGAGGGTTGTTTAGATTCCACCTGCTGAGTGTAGTTTCCTGAACGTCACTCTACACAATCCCTCACACCTGAGTCCACCCACCACTGGCATGTTCACCAAGGGTCCCTTGCTCTCACCAGACTGGCTGTCTTTATATTGCAGGTAAGTGGCTTTAACACAGGACCTCTGCAAAGGCTGAAATGCTCTTCCTGCACTATTCTCAAAGCTCATTTCCACCGTCATTCATTTCTGCGCCGATATCTCCTTAGGAAAAAAATCTCTGATCATGTTTCAAAAGAACAATCACTTTATCATATTTTCTGCTTTATTATTTCTAATGGCATTCTTATTAGCTGATGTGACATTGTAAGTTGTTTCTGATCTGTATTTACCCTTGCTTCTCCTACAGTATGAGCCCCATGAGCATTAGGTCTTTGCATGTCACCTGATACACAGTGTCATTTTTGTCAGAGCCAGGTATATAAAAGACGTACCCTACATAGTTCCAAAATAAGTGACTAAATAGTTCCATTTTGTAATGACAAAACAAAAGACAAGTCAGAAATGAGAATTCATGGTAGGCTTGTGATCAGTGAGTTTGGCTTTGAACTTGCAGTTAAATGCAAGTCTACAATCCGTTTTCCCTATTTGATATTTGTTGTAGGCTAATGTTTCAAAAAAGATGTGATTATGATACATGGAGAATTACATCCATTCATTATGAGAGATCCAGACCTCAACACTGTGAAACTTTATCAGAATGGCAGCCCTGTCCCTGCCATGAATGACCTTGACTGTCATCATTAGCAGAAGGAAAATATTTGGTAGCACTTCACAGGACAAGGATAGGTCATGGAAAAGGGCCTGATGCCATGTCCAGAGGAGGAAAAATGTTCCCTAGATCATTAATTCAATCATTTCACTTGTAATTTCAAAATTAATTTCCATCACTGACATTTCTTTCTGTAGTTCCCGGAGGACACTGCCTCCCAGTAAAGTAAACCAGATATAGCAACTAAGCAGGGGGAGGACTCACCTTCTATCCAGCCACATATAAACGCTTCAAGATTGTTAGATCTTTAAATCATCATATTTTATAATCTGGAGTCCTAAATTCTCCTTTGGGGTCCTGGGCTCCAAGAAATAGTCTAATGCTCCAGGAAGACTACCTGGGGAATCCAACATAACTGGATTACCTTCAGGGTCATATTCTTGGGAACTTTTATAGCATATGAAGCCATATTCTGGATATGCATACATGTTTTAAATCTCCCTTCATTTCACATCCCACTTCTGTGCCCTCTCACACCATCAA